GTCCCCCCCATCAAACACTCCCAGGGACAGCACGGGGTTAGATACAGAGTAAGGCTCCCTTTACACTGTCACCCCCATCAAACATTCCCCAGGGACAGGGACAACATGGGGTTAGATACAGAGTAAAGCTCCCTGTACACGGACTCCCACCAAACACGAAAAGCCCGAGGTGTGGGTGGGGTTGGCGGGGGGAGCAATTCCAGTGAGTGGAGCTGGTCCTCAGTTGAGCATGTTCCCCTGGGAGCTGGATCGAGCCAGGTCAGTGGAGACGAAGTAGGTACGCAGCTCGCCCTTGCCTTTCACCTCGATAACCCCCCGCATGTGGCACGTATAGCCCAGGCGGCTGAGAACGTGGCTGGTCTCCTCCGTCACCTGGAACCACAGGGGTGGGGATGATAGTGAGCTCGGTTAGCACAAACCATCGATGTACGGCGATCCAGTTGGGGGAAGTATATTCGCGTGGCGGTGTGGTGGCTCAGCGGGTTAGCGCCACAGCCTCATGGCGCTAGGGCCCCGGGTTCGATACCACCCTCGGGCAACTGTCTGTGCGGAGTTTGCTCATGTGGTGAGGTGGATTGGCCGTGGGAAATGCAGGGTTACAGGGATAGGGAGGGGTGTGGGATGCTCTCTGGGGGGTCGGTGTGCACTTGTTGGGCCAAATGGCCTGTTTCCGCGCTGTAGGGAATCGATGAGTAAACCAATGGGATTGAGGCTCCCGACACAATCCCAAAGAAACCTGTCCAATGGGAGTGAACAGGAAGGGGCTTTGGGTCCATTGGGATTGTGTCCAATGGGAGTGAACGGGAAGGGGGTTTGGGTCCATTGGGAGTGAAGGCGAAGGGGGATCAGACCCGTTGGGAGTGACTGGGGATCGGGCTCGTTGGGACTGAAGGGGAAGGGGGATCAGGCCCGTTGGGAGTGAAGGGGAAGGGGTTTCGGGCCCGTTGGGAGTAACGGGGCAGGGGGATCAGGCCCGTTGGGAGTGAATGGGAAGCGGGATCGGGCCCGTTGGGAGTGAAGGGGGTTCAGGCCCGTTGGGAGTGAAGGGGGATTGGGCCTGTTGGGAGTGAAGGGGAAGGGGGATC